TTCAAGTACGAGTACAGTGGGTCCTCAAGTGTAGTGCAGGTTCCTCAATGGTACCAACTATTGTGTGGGTTCCAGACCGGCCACAAACACTCCGTATAGGTTTGAATTCTCACATAATCCTCCCTATTGTATGTAGGCACAACGTGGTAAACGGAAGGCTATATATAGCAATATATCTTCTAGCTACATATCGTCAAGAAATATATCCAGTTATATATTTTCTCGCCTAGCTCCCTGGTACTGGTAGTGTCAGTGTAACAATGGGTTGCAGTATTGTTAGTTTAGAGCAGCTGTAACTAAATGAGGATTATCTGTGAGGGAGCTAACTGCAGCCAAGCGAAGCACTGGTTACTCCTAACACGGGGCCATGCAGCAAGCCGCGTAGAGGCAACCGTGGGTATACCTGCCTATATATGTATATATATACGATCAACCTGTCCAGCTCAATCATAAACCCGGCCCCTCCCCCTGGGGTACCTGTTCAGAAGAACTAGTGTAAAGTGGCCACTTGTGTATATCGCTGGCTCGGAGATCGCGGTTGTCGTGTCGGCATGTTATTGCAGTAGTTTCGCGGGTATGCGGGTGGATATGCGCTGCGTGTCGTGGCCTTTGTGCGAGTGATTGTACACGCGAGAATTGATAGTTAGGCAGCTATAGCGTAGCGCTGCTGCTGCTGCGCTGTCTCGCCTTCACAATCACGCCTAAACGTTGAAAACGTTTGAACGTCCGAACGTTAGATTCGGGAAAAAGAAAAGGGATTTTCGCGTTGTGCTTCCAAAGTAAAAACCGTTTATAGCGGTAGAGAATTAGAGGCGTTAATTGTGCGTGACTTAATTTCAAGAAGATGCGGTAAGGTCGGAAACGCTTTTTTTCGCGGGGCAAGTTTTTTTAACAGGTGAAACAATATTTTGGCCATCTTAGTATAAGAGATGAATAACCCGGATCGAGAGCGGCTTTGCTTTGCTTACGTATTTGTTGCAATTAACGTTGGCTAAATATAGAACTGAAATCACTTCTCAGTTGAATAATTTTTCGCCGCGTCTCGCTTTACTGAGCCTTTTATTTACGGAGGCAGGAATGTAGTCAGCCGCTTGACGCAACTCTCTCTCTCTCTCTCTCTCTCTCTCTCTCTCTCTCTCTCTCTCTCTCTCTCTCTCTCTCTCTCTTTCTTGCTCTCTCGCTCTCTCGCCCTCTCTCTCTCCCCCTCTTTCTCGCTCACTCTCTCTCTTTCTTGCTCGCTCTCTCTCTATCTCTATCGCGCTCTCTCTCTTTCACGTTCTCTCTAGAGCTCCTCTCTACCTATCTTCTGTCTGTCTGTCCGTCTATCTGTCTCTCTCTCTCTCTCTCTCTCTCTCTCTCTCTCTCTCTCTCTCTCTCTCTCTCTCTCTCTGTCTCGCCTCTCGCTCACTTTCCCTCCCTCCTCTTTCTTTATCCCTCCCTCCTCTCTCTCTCACCCTCCCCTCTCTCTGTCTATATATCTCCCTGCCTCCCATCCATCGCCCATGCCTTCCTCCCTGCCACTGCCTGTTCTCGCATGCTCGGAAGACATAACGTAATCCGTCCTTATTGTAAAACTTCCCCCCTGTTTTCTGGCTAACGCTCCATTAGGAGTGTTCCCAACTTTGATATCATTAATGATTAATGATTAATGAATAATGATTGATAATCCTAACCCTAACCTTGACCCTAACCCTAACTCTAAGTTGGGGACACTCCTAATGGAGTATCACCCTGTTTTCTCTGCTATCACACACCACCACCACTCCACTGTATCGGGGATCGTGTGCAGGTAGGTATAACCAGTAAAGACCGGCACACTTAGCCGTGGATGTGAACAGGTTGTGTGTTGACTCGCTACTCAATCAGCGAAGTGGAGACTCCCTGTCGATTTTCTGCAAAAAGAATTCTTGAATTCGTTGCGCAGCTCTCTGCATAATATCAGAATTCCCTATTATCTACTTCTGATCATATGAATGATGACAGTTCGCGTACGATTTGGCAGCTAAAACCACGCGTACTGTTTACACTCCTAGTCGAAAAGGCAACGATATCAGTGCCTAGATATTTGTGACTAGAGGGAAGTGTCAGCGTTGTAGAAGTTAGACGTGGAGTATGATTGATCGCTTCTGTAAAACTCGTTGTTGCATTTGCCGTCTCTCTACACCTAGCTATCCATGTTCCTATATTCAACATATCAGGGGCATATCACACAGGTTAACTGCGTGTGTAAAGCATTAAGCTGTGCCTCGTCGTAAACATGTATAACTAGATACCCTGCTAGCCTATCCCCTCAGGTTAACTTAATTTAACACATACACGTTGGACAAACAATTATATTTAAACCAGTAGCAGTCTAGGTTAACCTATGAATACTTGTATATCTATAGTCCTATCTATATGCTACAACACCCTATTTCTGGACTAATGAGAGCCCTATAATGATTCTAGGACTACTACCCCCCGGGCCCCTTCCCCCCCCCCCGGACAACTACCACCCGGG